TTTTTTTTTTTTTTTGTGCAAAAATGATAAGGCAATTAGCAAGCAAGAAAAAAGGAAAAAAAAAACAGTTTTACTTAACAAATGGTTCCTCGTTTGTAGAAATGACTGACTTGATCAATGATCGATGCACAAAACAACAGATGAAGCAGCAGAAGCAAAATCAGCAAAAAAAACAAAAAAGAAAACTAGCTAGCTATTTACCCCAAAGACTACTGCAGCAGCAATTGCAGTAACAGTTGCAGTACAGTAGCGGTAGCAGTAGAATCAGTATCAGCATAAGCAAAGGCAACAACAACGATTATTCATCAAATTATTAGAAATATAAAAAACAAAATTTTAGCAAAAAAAAAACCAAAAATAAAAATATAACCAAGAAAAAAAACTTTTTTTTTTCTTGCTAAATCATAGTAAATCGATTGAAATTTTGCACTTTTGTGCAAACCCATATGTACGGTTCCTCTTTCACTTCGGTAACAGTTTGATAGTGGAACAAAAAACCTGACACACATCTGCCGTCAGATAGCAAAAGTCAATAGCAGTTAATTCTATTTCTCTCCCCGCTTTTTTTTTCTCTCTCGTCCACTTTTTCTCTCCCTTCCAATTTAAAAATTTCACCTATTTATTTATTTATTCACTTTTTTCACACCATCATTGAAACCACCTAATCAGTGAATTTTGTTTTTAATAACTGATCTTTGAAAAAAAAAAAATAAAATCAATGAACAAATATAAATAAGAAAAAAAAAAAAATTAATTTGACTATGGTCCCAATTAAAAAATAATTAACCAATTTTTTAACTAAATCAGACATTATTTGAAGTAAAAAAAAATCTGAGCACTAGCAAAAAAAGAAAACTAATGAAAACTAAGAGATGCTTATATTGTACCACCACAGACTACAGAATACCAGCAACCAATCGTTCAAAATGAACATTCTATAAACAGAGTTTTACATCCTCAGCACGATAAATCTTTAACCCTTTGGTGCAGCACCCGAATAACAGCTAATGATAGTTCCATATTCTTTTTTTTTTTTACTATCACACCATAAAAAAACTGCAAATGAATTTTAAAGCTGTCTATCTTCCAGACAAAAATCACACTCCTTATCTTCCAGCAAGTCTTAGACAACAATTGTTGGGACGAGTTATTCCAAAGCCTTTCGACTGACATGAGTCCTCATTCGTGAAATAACTGTCGGTAATGTTACAGCAAATTAGATTCTACTGCGTTCTTTGCAGTTCCTCAAGATTTTTTCGTCATCGATAGAGAAGCAGTTCTTTCCCAGTTTTCTTTTGTTTTTGTATGGCAGATCAACGTCTCTAGGCATCCCAGCTGTTGGTGTGATAATGGATAAGTAAAAGGCTAGAAAGTATGGTGGCTAATGACATCTCCATAGCACTGGGAATAGCAGCGTAGGAGAATGGTAGATGTAAAATCGTAGCACCGTAAATAAAGAATAAGACGATTTAATTTGTCCGAGCGAAAAGGACAGATGATTCAGAAATAAAAAATTGGAGTTTTTTCTGGCTTTTCTCAAAAGTTTTCTGCATAAACTTGGTCCCATAAACGTTTTTCTGCTCTTTTTTCTTCTAAACTTCAGCAGACAAACGCAAGTAGAAGGGAAATCCTCTTTAAAAAAAAAAAAGTTGGAAGTGTATTCACTTCTGTAAAAGTTTAATGTCACAGTTACGTTTCTATTGTTTAAAACAATAAATTAATAGAAAGAAATCTCGTAATTAAAAATGGTACTTCTTCTCTCCGTTCTACTTCCTTCTCCTCGTATACCATTGCCTACCCTTTTAATCCAATGAAAATGGAAACGCTAAACTTTTAGCAGAACAAATCTGTAAGCTGCAGCAGCAAACATATTAAAACTGGCAACACCTTAATCTGAACAATTGTTCAAAACAGTAAAGATGTAAGTGAAGAAAATTTCTAGGATCGACCGATGATTTAAAAATGCAGGGACTTTCTAACCAATGTGAAGTGCAGTTCTCAAGTTCAAGGACACTCAAAACTGATCCGCCAAGCAAGAGCAACAAGTGTCTTTTGACAACAGAAACGGCTGGTCAATTCTTTTTCTGTAAATTTAAGAAGAAAATGCGGGAGTGATTAAAGAATACAACTACTCGTTATAAAAGTTTTGAATACAGTATGCAGCGTTATGCAACGCAGCAGATGTGCAAAACGAATGGAAAAGCAAAACCACCGAGTTGACACGACACAGCCGAATATGTCTTCCCCAACCTGTTCCGTCGATTTGATCCAAAAATTTTACAGACTTATTACGAATAGCATGCCGGCAAAAATCTATAGTAACGTGAAAATTACATTTCACGTCATGCACATCAGACCTAACTTGCAAAACCAAGTAGTACTTGCGTCACTGAGCTTCTCCACAGGCTTGAAAGGGCACTCAACATTAACAATGAAACCAACGCGTTTGTTCTTCTGGCTATTAATACTCTTAACTATGACTCATCCTAAACACAAAAAGTCCACATTATCGATCGAAAAAAGCTATCGCTATCATCCCTCATCTTAATCGCTTTTACGCAGGTTCCACAGGACAAGGGAAACACGACAACGCAATCATCCGACGACCATTTCATAACTCCCGTCAGGACCTGGCCCATGATGCAACATTAAAACCCTGGCAAAAATAACCGACCTTAAAAGCTCATCTTCCGAAAACTAACCGACAACCCCAACCAGTTCGCTCTGCCCACCAATCCTTCGTAAACAAAGACAACACGCAACTGCTCAAAACGCCGTCCAGCTCCAAACGACAAAAGCTAAAATACCGTCAGTAAACTGAAAAAAAAAAAAAAAAAAAAAACTGGTTTTTCTTCCCCTTCCAGCTCATCCTTCTGAAAAAAAAGCAACTTGACCGAAATAGAGCATCTGGTAAGTCATTTATTTCAATGACAAAGTAAAAAAGAAAACAACGAAACGAAAACCAACATTGCATATGAATCAACTTGGCTACAGGCGATCTCACAAAAGAGAGCGAGCAAAATGAGAATGTATATGAGTGCAAACGGTAATCAAAATTTACATTTCCAAATAACCATAAAAGACAAAAGTAGCGACAACAAATAGTTCCAACATTCCTCTATTGCTTCCCCATGAAGCATTTTTAATACTGTAGTGTCCCAACATCCAAAACTCCCCTAACCTGTTCAGGCGAAAATAAAAAACCCCCAACTGAAAATAAATACACGCAATCGCAATGTTAAAACTGTCTCCGGTGATACAAATCAGGGTCATAATAACTAGTCACAACTGTCCGGTTCGCAAACTTTCGACCAGTTAGGGCAGCTTGGGCTTTTTGGCACTCTTGCTTATCGTTGAATTCAACAAAAACCTTTAAAAAAAAGTCGATTTGAATAAAGTTGAATAGAAGCGCAATGTTGCGTCCTAAATGAGAGTTTAATTACGTAAAAAAAACCCACCTTCCCGACACCAGTTATTTCCATGCCAGGAACTGAACGTGGGATTTCCAGCGACTTAACTACTCCATATTTCATGCATTCCTCCCGTATATCGTCCATAATATCTAAAAAACAAGTCATAATTTACTTATAAAATGAAAAACTAATGAGGTAATTCAAAGCAGATGGAAGTGCAGTAAACCTTCATATTCTTCATCATTCTTCAATTCATCTTCTGTAACCATGTTCATCAAACATAAGACCTCCGTCGGTGGACCAGCACCCTGCGACAAGTCAATACCTGCCACCTGGATTTGTGGGAACGCTGATGGATTACCCTGCGGTCGAGAGCCTGCACAAGCCAATTGAACAACCAGATTCTTATCTCCCAGCTGCATGCCATTTAAGCCAGCAATTGCCTAAAAAATTAACCAGTTAGTAAAATTAAAAGAAACTAAAAAAGTAACGAAAAAAGAAATTGAACGAAAAAAGCCGTGCGAGACTAAACAAACCTGATCCGTTAATAAAGGATCCAAGTATTCAGCAAATGCAAAACCTTTTGAAACTCCGGTAGACTGCTCTGTGACAAGATTGAAAGCTTTAAGCTGTCCAAAGGAAGAAAGCAATTCTTTTACCTGCAAAAAATATGGGAAATCCACGAAAAAAACTGCCCTCCCACTTCACTCCCATTCCACAACAGCGCGTTGGAAATTTAATTTTACTTCGAATGCTATTCAGTACACGCAGCAGTAGCGAAGGTATGCAAGGAAAACTACTATCAGGAGTGTGATCAGCTACTGAATTCTCGCAGAAACCCAAAAAACTAGCTCAACGTTTCTGCCATACCATTTCATGTTGCGTAAAACTTTTCAAAAAACAAAAAAGCATACAGGTCAACAATGCGATCAAAAGCCGCTTACTCTGATACGTAAGAGCCACTAAACATAATGAATCGTCTTTTAAACCTAAAATCTGAAAAAAGAAGACCAGAAAGTAGCGAGCGCATGAATTACAAACCTATACCCTATCAAAGAAATAAAAGCCAACACTTCGCTGCTTCAGCTTTCGCAGGAAACAGCACAACTTCAGCTCTAAAACAGAAAACAACAAAACCATGTGACTTAATCACAGCCCTTTCAACAGTAACATGTTTTAGTCTAGCGCTACGCTCGCTACTCAGACCCAAACTGATAACGCCACGATTTTTATATCCTAAAAGACAAAATTTGTAATCCGAATTTTGTGGACTCCAGCCTGAAATGCCTAAAAAAGGGGAAACTGAAAGAAATAGGGCGTTACACATTTTCTCCATCCGGCTCAGTTGTATCACACATAATTGTGCAAATATTGCGTATCTCGTGACTGACGGCCACTGAAAAAACGCGGCCGGATTAGTCAATCGATAGAGGCAAATCAAAAGAAATACATACCGTTCTCAACAAGAATCTACCATCTAAATTACCGCGTAACCTCAAGCAGAAACTAGTTCCCAATAGCAAGAACAGTATGTACAACGACAAATTTTTATTTTAAGAACACATTCATTGTGCAAAAAAACCCTAGCGAATTTAAGAAAATCCAAAAGAAAAAAACTGTACTGCTACGCAGAGTACGTCCTAAACCCCTACAAAACACTAAATTACAAGACTCCACACCAAAATATAAAAATCTGCCCTACCTGATCGGCATTCAAGTAAGTTGGTAATCCGCCAATATATATTTTATACGGGCTATCCGCCACAATATTCGAAACTAAAAAAATTGCATAAAACAAAACAATATAAAAATTCAAACCCAAGAAATTTAATATTGACAACGCCCAGGTAACATACCCATCATGTTGCCAACATCGTAGTTAGTGCTCATCGGCTGATAGTCACGTGGTCGTCGAATCTTTAACTGTTGTCCCATAAAGTTGATACCATCAAATGCCATACCGGCTGTTGTCTCATCAATGGACCGGAATTCAATGAAGGCGAAATTTTTATCCAAATTCATTTGACACGCTAACACTGGATTACCGGGCGCTTGTGCAAGTCCACACAAATGCATCTAGACATTTCAAAAACTTAGCGTTTACTCAAGGTCTCACCGATAAAAAAAATTAACTAACTGCATTTTATTGTTAACCTTCTTTACAAAATTTTTTGCTGTACATTTAGCATTAAAATCTTTAATTAGAAAATACATTCTAATTCAGTATTAAATGGCAACAAATATTACCTGCTGATTGAAAAAATCTAGCATAGCGTCTTCACTACATCCGAATGGAATGTTCCCAACGTACAAACGACGAGACTGGCAGGTAACTGACGGACCAACTACTGGCACAGCGGACTGGACATTACTTCTTG